AAAAACAATTATTTAACATTTCTCCACGAAAATTAGATAAATTTTATGCACACTTTTATAATGATAGTGGTGCTTACCAATAAATTGTCTCATTTCAATATTTTGTTTCTAGCAGCTGAGCGTTTCTTCTAAGCTGTTTTTAAAAATAAAATTCAATTTAAATATATGTAGATTTGTCTAAATCACTGACAAACGTAGATTAAAAGAAAAGCTTTTTAACTGATCAAAATTACAGAAATGGGCGCCGGCGCCACAGAAAAAATGTCAAACGACCTGAAGAGCTAAAATTAATGTACGTAACGTTAAAAATATTCATTTTTAATTAATATTTTTTTACGTGATTTGATGTCACAAGCAGAAAAATAACAACATATATTTGGCGATGAGTTTCTCTTTTTTGTTAATTTTTCAAAGCAATTTAATGATTCTAATTGTAGGCAGAAGGAACAAAATTATTGAAAATTTTAAATATTTAATAAAATGTAAATAAATCGCATTAATTATTTTATTTCTGTAAAATCTTCCTTTTGTCTGACTGGGTCCATTGTTAAGCTGAAATGTTCATCACCCTGTCCCTCGCGTCTCTTCAAAACAACAAACTTCAAACTTTTTGCAACGAGATTAGCCGTCGCGGGGCTGAAAACAAAATGAGTTTTGGCGTGGAATTCAAGGAGATTGTCAGTTTCGCGTGTGCGTGTTGGTTGCTGCTTGTGTGCGAAGCTGAAAAAAGAAATTCTGACGTTTTGACGCATGACTGAGTCGAATAACTGCTGCTGCTTTTCGGGCCGTCGCCGCTTTTCTCTCGCGTCTCTTTTTGCCTGCAAAGCCGACTAAACTTGCTTTTGCGTCAAGGATGAAAAATGTGGCGGACAAAGGGAGAGGAGCAGTTTTAAATTACCATTAGAGCGTGCCGAAAAATAATCCTGTAAATGTATTTAACGGGCGAGCGCGCACACCTTCGCCCTTCCAAACGGATAGAATAAAATAGATAAAAGACGAAAAGGAACACCAGAGCGGTCGGGCTAACTCTGATAGATGACACTTTGACTCTTGCTACGGGATAATGTGATTGCCGATTTTGTGAAAAAGTGTTGCTGAGTCGGAGAAAATAATCTAGTTGGAAAGTCTATATATGGGTCGTAAACTTTTGACTTCCTTTATGGAGTTTTAAAGATTCAAAAGTGATATTGAAAAGAAAACTTTGAATCTTTGAGGACATTTTTTTACTGTATGAAGTTATACTTAAAAATATTTATATAGAAATCTAATTGATTTGCTTTGGAAAAATTAGTGGTTTCTTATCATTGATCTTCTATTAAAAATAAAATTCAGCAAATTAATGGAATGATCAACATTAACAAATTTAATTCTAATAATTGTTTCATCAATGTTTAAGGGATAAAATTATATAAAATTTTTCTAAATAGAAATAAAAATATATAATTAAAATGAGTGTTTTAGTGTCTAGATATAAAATATCAAAAAATAAAATTTATAAAAATTATTATTAAATTAAATTTTTTTACAAATAACTGTTTTTATTAAAATTTATCGTGCTAGATTTAAGATTTTAATGTTAAATTTATATTTAGTTTTTTTTATAAAATATTGTTGCGTCTGTTAAAAAATTTCAATTCTGCAAATTTACAGCGCATAATAAATTTGGCACAATAGTTGATTTCTCTGTCCATAGACAGCACGTGTTTATAAAATTCAATTGAAACATTTTGTTATACAATAGATAAAATATAATGTCAAATAATTTGCAACTTCAACTTAATTTTGCTGCAATATTCATCACTCAGAAAAGTGAAACAATCTGCATTTAACAACGAAAGTAATTTTTTATTGTAAATATTTTTTTCCTTTTAGGATATTGAACTTTATCTGTTTTACTCAATTTGTTTCCTTCGTAACGAGTTCAAGCGATCAAATTGACCTGAATCCAATTTGTAGTACATTTCTAGTGAAACATAATTTTCACCCTGGTTTTTTTATCGAACAAAGCAATCAACTGGTCGCATTGGCACCCAGAGCTAATTACCGTGACACTTTCGCGCCCGACCTTTGGTGCAGAAAGAGAGTGCAGCTGCAATTATCGTTCGCCACGTGCTATGTAAAAAAAAAAATAACCAAGCTGCTCGTTCCACTCTAATGAGAGGAAAAGCCGCACACGCCAATTTCACGCCTTGTCGAGCTCCGGGGAGAACAAGACTGCGGTTTTTCGCAAGTTTTTCTCACATCCAACTTGGAATAGAGAAAAATTAGTTCAAATTTTAAGCAGGAAAAAAAACGCCTGTTGTTTGTTTGCGAATTGAAGAGAGGGGAGAAATTTACAGGCTGGCGCTAACAACCCACTTGACACACTTGGCGTAAATCAACGCGCGTTCCTGCTTTTCTGCATAAATGTCTGAAGGCGGCTGAGAAAAAAAAATTACGACTCGCGCGACGAATGAAAGAAAGGGAAGCATCTTGTTAGGCACGCCAAGTGGAATATTATTCCAAATGCAAATTCACCAGTTAACGCAGAAGATTTTTTCCTCACGCAGCGAGAAGTAATGACGAGACGTAATTGGAACGACGAGCTTGTTCAGCCTAAAAAATTAAAATAGTGGAAGGAAAAGAATTGAATTTTTATATAATAAGTTCTGCTGCAGTCGTGAATTTTCAGTGACGATGTTTTTTCCAAAAAAAGCGTCTATTTTTTTATTTTCCAACTTTAAATTTTCTTAAGTCAATCGATAAAAATTTAAATACAGTAAAATAGTTCGTATAAAGATCAAAAAAATTTTTATCACTGTGAATTTTAAAGATCTTTGGTTTGATTCCTAATTTTTTTTCTCTGTAAAAATAACACGATAACCCTTCCCCTTTAAGTTTGGTGAATGAGTGAAGCTATAATAATTAAAATATAGAACTACTTATTAATTAAAAAAAAAAAAAAATTCTTTTAAAATATTGAGAGAATTAATTTTTATGTAAAATATTTTCTGGAACTCCCTCTATGTCAAAATGGAATCTGAATGGAATTAATAAAACTTAATATACTACTAAATAGAATTAAAACTGCGAGGGTGGTAGAATAATAAACATAAATATAATTCTATAAATATATTAAAAATATAAATTTATTTATTTTTTTTCTTGATCTGGCTGTGAGGAAATTGCAGTTGGCGTTAGTAAAGTTAGCCTGATTATGCCACGCGGCCCCCTGATAACACAACAGATTACACAACGATAAAATTCACAAGGAAATAACAGTACTTGTGTCGTGGTCGTTTCAAGAGAAAGAGAGAGATAAAGAGACCGGTATTTTTCTTTCTTCTCTCGGCTGCAGTCGTCATGTAAGTAATATTCCATTTATTATAAAAGTTTATTTCGCGAAATACGGTTGGAACGGTTCCAAATTCGTTTCGTATTCACATATCTCGCAAAACGAATAAAACTTGTGTGCAAAAGGCAATTGAATGAATGCTGTTGAGCGAAATGTGCCTTCAAACAGAAAGATACTCTTTATGTCGGTGGCAATATGATTTATTCAAACCTTTTTCTATTATTCAATATAAAACGAATATAAGATTTTTATTTGTCCCGTATAACATGCTATTTTTTCTTCTTTTAATAAAATAAAATTAATTCAAATGCTAGAATTTTCTAATGAAATTAAACTAACTAAAATTGAGATGATTCGCTAAAAAATCCTTCATTACAATGAATTTTAGCGTGAATGAAAAAAAATTAGTAAAACTGCAATTTCCACTACTTCTTAGTAAAAAATAAATCCTCACATATAGATACCTATAATTTGTGATAAGAAGAAATTGTTAATTTTAAATTTAGAAATTTAGGTACATTCTTAATTCCAGCTGAAAAAAATTTCAGAAAAAATAAGATTTGAAAAAAAGGCGTTTCTTTAACAGAAAGTCTCTGGCGTCTTAAATATTCAGATCGATGCACCGGAGTGTTTGTATCGAGTGTGTTTGTTGGGAGGAAGCATCTCTGCGTCTCGTCGTGTGCCCACAGGGACCAGGATCTTATCTCTAATACCCCGATATAAATCACACAATCCCGGCCAACATTTTCCATTCAGGAGCTCTTGCGCTTTTCTCCCTTGCTCTTTTCTTGAGGGTTGGCTGAAGAGGCAAGTTGTAACAATGGGGCGAAATTTGTCTCGAGTTCGGCAGTAAAAGGACATTTGTTTGAACAAGTGCAGCGCTAGCAAAAAAAATAAATATAAATAACACGCGCGACCAGCGGAAAAGCGCATTTTAGGGAAAAAGTTTCCATCTCTTATTGCTATAATATAACATACGTGGCAGGAAATGAAGAAAAACAAAAGTATCGCCTTAAAAAATATAATAATGTACATTACCAACAATATTATCTTGTGCTTAATACTTCCTGAACTAAACTTGTTAAAGTCAAGGAGGCCCGGAAAGTGCCAAACAAATATCCTAAATTTTTCTTAACAATTATCTTGACATTGAAAATTAAGGAAAAAAAAATATTTTCACTCGGTTAATTACAAAAATTATTTTAATATAAATCTTATAAGTGATATAAAAACAGTTTGCATCGTGATCGTGATCAAATTTAAAAATATAAAAATAATTAAATAAATTTTTGAGAGTTATTTTAGTTAAAATTTATATGTTTCATGCAGCTTAATAGATTCGTAATTAATTAAACATTCCACCCCATCTCTTTGCATAAATTTAAAATTAGTTTCTATAATTATGTTTCTAACTTTTTCATTGCAGGAGTATTTATAAATATTTAAAAAAAAACTGTAATTTACAAACTAATGAAAGTGCAAAGGTTAAAAAATGATCATAAAAATAACTAAATAGGAAGAAAAATCATTAAAACAAAAAATAAAAAATATAAAAATTTATTTAAATTGTTTTAAAACACATTAAATTTTAATAAAATGTAAAGCTATTAAAAACCGTCAAAACTATTAACTTGTTATTTATAATTGCATCTTGCTATGTTCTCAGGGTATTTGCGGCGAGTCGGTGAACGTCCTTATGAGCGCGTGTAGTCCGTCGGGATGGACTGGCGGCTGCCACCACTGTTGGACTGTGGCTGAGCTCCTCAGCACCGGACGCAGCTAGTGGCCAGCCCCCCAGCCATCCTCGCCCCCGCCGCCCCTCTTGCAAGAAGCGGAGCCTCAGCGCGTGAGCCAACATGCCCGGAGGCCGACGAGGGCTGGTCGCCCCACAGAACACATTCCTCGAGAACATCATCAGACGGTCCAGCTCGCAACGTGAGTACAGAAACCAAATTTCAGCCAAATTTGAACAAAATAATTAGCGACAAATATGGAATTTAAAAAAATTCAAGTTTCAAATAGAGGAAAGATTTTAATCAATTGATTCTGAAACTGAAAAACAATAATAGTTTGGAATTTGGAATGCATATATTTTGCTTCCAATATAAAGGAAGAAAATATTAAAATAACACTAAAGAAAAAAAATTTAATACAATACATAATTAATAATTATATAGATAAAATTTAAACATTGCAAAAAATAAATATATTTATATAATTTTTGTTTTCTTTCAAAAAAGTCTTGAAAAATGTATAGTTTTTGTAATTGTTTAATAAGAAATTAAAATTTTTAATTAAAATCTTTAGGCCAAGGAGATCAAGTAAGATGAAATTTTTTTAAATGAAATCGTTTCCTTGAAGATAAATTTTGTGACGACCTTAAATGAAGTGCCTTCTCTTCTCTCTCTTGAGTACGAGGTCGTCAATCGAGACAGCAAACGATGATCGGCGCGCTTTAATTCTCACGCCTCTCAATTTATCATTTAGCACCGGAGAGTTGAGAGCGGACGGAGCGCTACAGGTTATTGAAATTCTCGGCCCGGAGCTCGTTTTCACGCACGTGTTTATATCGAATTCTGGGCAGTGGCGCGCGCTCGGAATAAAGAGCAAGGGTCTTTCGCCAGAAGCAAAAACTACGACCTCTCGATGCTTAAGCACTTTTCGGGCCGAGAGCGAGGAAAGATGGACTGCGCTGTTTTTCGCTCTCGCGCAAACGTACCCCGGCCGCCGCCACTCCATTCCGGCTCTAAAAAGCCATTTATTATGATTCATATACGTCATATGTATGCGTGTATGTGTGCCAGAGAAAGCTCCGGCAGAAAGAGAGAAATGCGGAGAATATTCCGAGCGAGATTTTTGATCGTGACTCGAAATAAAGTGGAAGAGCAGGGAAAAAAGGGCAGTGCGAAAATCTTAATTAAAACAGAATAATATCAATTTTATTTCATATTTTAATTTATTGAATAATGTATTGTAAACGAAGTCAAATTAAAAATAAATTTCATTGTCCCAATTCTACGCTAATGGTAAGTTGAAAAAAATTGTAAAAATTTGATATCTTTCACACAGACATTGAGAGACAAATAGTTTAATTTTTAAAATTAAGCTGCTTTTCCGGCTTTAGGAAGATTATTCAATAGATTTAAATATATTTAAAAAAGAGAAATTAATACAATTAGTGTCACCATCACGAGGATACCTAAATTAATAAAAAAGTCAAATAAATTAATTTAAATCACTTGTTTTTATATTGCAAAAAATTTATGGCTGCGGTTAATATAATACGAGGAAAATTCCTGTTAATCAATTATTCTCCCCTTTTTTATGTTAAAATAATCCTTTTTTACTTTTCGATAACATTTCATCTTCACAATCTAATCTGATTTGACCTTTCAGGAGCAAAGAGTTATTTTTTAACATAATCAATATAATAACTTTTTCCTAGCTGGTTTCAAATATACTATTTGAATAGTGAAAATTTTAATCTTGTGTATATGCATACAACAGTTTAAGCCTCTTTTGATGCTAAAGAAATGGTTTCCTATAAAATGAAAAAAATCGGACCTCTCATACTTCCGTAGAACACAAATTGTTGTGTTGATGGAAACAATTAATAACTCAACCGAATGACACTAATAAATTACGCACTTACATCTCACAACACATTTTTAATAAAACCGGCGATCAATCAAAATTTCTGGCGCCGCGTGCTACCTGCCTGATGCCGCGTGCAGAGCCATTTTTCACTGCCCCGCAGCTGGTTGCCTCCATTATGTATGGGAATATCGCGCACTGCTGTCGAATATGTATAACAAGTCTCATCGATTTTTGTTGCCCGCGTGCAGGAGTAGATCAATGCGCGAAATAAGGCCTCTGTTTGGTGCGACCGAGTGAAAATGCATCAATCAACACACTTTCCGGAAACCGACTTTTTTCCTGCTTTTCCCACAAAGAACCAAGTCGTGAATTATTGAAGCAAAACAGCATTCGCTCGATATACAAATATATACATTTCTGCCGGCAAAGAGGCGCAAAGCCCGGCGGCGGCTTTTCCGTCAGCCTGCTTTTAATCCTCGCAGCTTTTCCACCTGAACTCGTAACGTATATTGCTGCTCGTAAAATGCATCATTATATCTCTGCGTGTGTCACAAATCTTGCCTCTCTCACATAATTGCCGGCCGGGCTGACCGTATGAGATGCGTCGATCTGCGTGGGAAAAGCGCCACTTGCCGTTTCGCTTCTTTTATGCCGGAATTATGGAGAGCTTATGTCCCGGGCATTAGCAAAGTGGACTTTTTTTTATCTCGTTTCTGCTTTTATTCGAAATTGAGGCTTGCGTCGAATGATATCAATTATTACTGTGCTCGCTGAAACCATTTCCTTTGAAAAGAGAACTGATTCCACTGGCATTTTCTAAATTATTATTATTATTGAACATTCTTTACTGATGATGAAATTTCATCTCCGGAAACGGAACAATAATTCCCTTTTTCCACTTCAACGCTCATGAAAATGTTGAATTGAAACATTTTGGCAGCAAAATTATAACCCCAATGAAAATCTCATGATTTATCATATCTCATGTTATTAATTATTGAACCAGTCTTTTCCCCGTTGCGAAAGTTCTTTGCATTTTTCATTAAAGAAGGCGATTTTTTTAAAGAAAATATCTTTCTTGGTATGTGAAACACCGATTCATCCTTTATCATGACACATCCTTGATGTTCTTCTTCAATAAAATTATTAGTATTCAATAGAAATTTAAAGAATTTAAGAATTACATCTTCATAGCGAGATTAAAATTTAAAATTCACAACAATTTCCCACTCTTCAATTTTGCATGAATATTCCAAAACATTTTGATTTTTTCTTAATAATTAAAAGAAATTCTTCTTACAGAAGCATTTAGAGCTTATAAAATAATTAACTCGTCGTCATGCTTCCTTCCTTTTTTGCTAAAATTTTAATGAGGTTGAATTTCAAAGGTCTCCTGTGCTCCTCGTGAAAAGACTGAATTAATCAAATGACAAGGAGAGCGCTTTTTTCAATTAGCGAGTTTCGCCTCGGAAAGTTCCATTGCATTTTCGCGAGAGGATTCGGAGGCCATTTAAAAGGTTCTCCGCAGACTGACACGTCTGCTCCCGATTCCACTTATACCGGGGCCGAGATAAATCTTTTCCTCCTTGTTAGCCGTGCTTAAAACGAGCCTGAAGAGACCCACTCTGCTTGAGCAAACTGCAGCCGCCCCTAATTCTGGCACCGCCGACCGTTTTCGCCGGCAAAGTTGCCAGGTGAAAAAGTTTTCATTGTTCTGCGCGCCTGTTCTATTTTCGTGCGCCCGCGGTGCTTTAAAGGCCGCCGCCGTTGTCGTCACTCGCTGTATGCGACTGTAATTGAATCCTGGCCTTTCAAAGACCGCGCACCAGCTACCGGCAATCTGGCCCGGCTTGATGATGACGCTGACGTCATAGCTTGCATTATTTTTATTATCACCGTCAGTGCATCCTCCTCTCGCCCTCTTCATTTTTTTTTCTGCATATAAAACGTGCACAGTCCCACAGCGCCCGCATTTGCATTTTTAAGGCTGTGGTGCCAGATGCACACTTTCTTGCACGCGTTTTGCATAATCGGTTGCTGATGCAAAAGATCCACAGCTTGTTTTCCACTTCTCCTATAAAAGCGTGGAAAATGAAAAGAAAGAAATATAGAATGCAACTCCAAGGGCAAGATGAAGCAAGTTAAAAAAAAACTGTTACATGGCTGCCATGTTATTCGAGATAAATTAATTTCAATTCTTTTAAAATGTTCATTTTTAGATTTATTCGATTAAAAATTAAATACTTCTCCATAAATTTCAAATTATATAAAAAATGATTGTGAGAACTACTGATATTGTGCTTTTAACCGAATACCAAAAATGAAATTCATGGAATTAATAACAAAATTTAACACGTTTTTATATAATCAAAGAATTAATTAAAAAAAAATTTGTAATTCTTAATCAGGACAGAAAAATTTTCAAATCCTGGTAAATAAAGTTAATCTTACAATTAGAATAAAGTTTGGTTCAAGCTGTTATCATTTTAATTTGTATACGACTCTTTAAAAAGCTCCATCAAATAGCTAATAGCTTTCTTCCCTCCCCACCGAGCGCTGCTGTCACGCGGGCACGTGACTTCCCCTCCACCAAACCCACCAATCAGAGCGCACGGTGCTGTATAAAAAGGGGAAGCTGAATCGTGCTGGTATCAGTTGCAAGCCAGCAGCTGAAGAGTAATGTCCTCTTGGTGGCAATGATTTTGAATCGCGACTAGAGGATATTACTTTTCAGCAGGTCGTTGCATCTATTAGCATAGAGAAGGGAATAAAAAATATTTTCACAAGGCGTTGTGACAATTTTTTATTCAAAATTTTTATTTTAAATCTTTGATTGTATAAAAACTTGCAAAATTTTGTTAATAATTCCATGAATTACAATTTTTGTATTCAATTAATTAGGTATTCGATTAAAAGGTTCAATTTTGAGTTTGTTCTAAGTCAATTAATATTTTGCGGTTATATCAAGCCAGTGTCTCTCTCTGCACTTCCTGAGATGATTTCTGACTACCATTACCAGCAATGCATTTTGGTCTGTGCGAATTTTGATCGCAAAGGTCTCTTCACCGTCCCTAAATTTTGAATCCTCTTATTTGAACATTTTGCTATGAACAAAAATGCTCTCCATCAAGTTACATTAATTATGTATTATTAAAAATGAAGAAGATTTGAAATTAGGTCCATTTGAAAAAATTTTCAATTATTGAACTTACGAATTTTAGGGAAAAAATAAAATTAAATTTTGTCTTCTTAAATCTATAATTATTATTTTTATTTTCATGGTTTAATTTTTTTTTCAATGTAAGTAAAGGTGGAACAGATAAAATTATTAATTGGAT